AGAACTAGTGAGTCATAAGGATGTCGCTACAATTCACAAGAAATACTGCCAATATCTGCAATTATACAAAGCCCCTTCAACGAGCCACAAAGTCCTAATAAAAAGGAATCACACATGATCAATAAAAGATAGCTGTGAAAAGATTTGGATATTTCTGCATTTCCTTCACAACATTTAGAAACTTTCTGTAATATTTGAAAACTGAAAAAATCTTTAGATATTTCTGGTTGTCTATGGAAATTCCCTAAAACTTTGAAATGTAAAAATCCTCATGTTGTAAATCTTTACAAATATCAAGAAAATCATTGAAACTTCATTGAAATATTTGGAAAATCTCCGGAAATTCTAGAAAATCTTGCTTGAAAATGTTGAATATTTGTTTGAAATCTTCTAAAATTTTAATTTATTTAAGAATCATCGGGAAATAATGGGAAATATCAGAAATTCTCTAATATAATCGAAAATCCTTATAAATGCTCTGGTTATCCATTGATACTTTGAAATCTCGGAAAATTGTTAGAAATGCCTGGATAATTTCAAAAATTCTGAATAATATAGGATTTCATTAAGAATCCGCTGAAATCGATGAAAATTATCTAAAAACCTTTGGATTTTTCTAGATATATTAATTAATCTAAAGGTATTTGAACATATTCGGTAATTTCTGCAGACGTTCTGAGATTTTGAAATATTCACGGAATATATCTAAAGATTTGAAATGATATCAAAAAATTTCAAAAGTTTTTCTGAGGTTCTATTTGAAAGGAGTTGCAAAGGATTAGTAAATATTTCAAAGAAGTTTTAGAGATTAATCAAATACATTTTAGAGTTTCCCAGTATTTACAAAAAATATCCGCAAATATTTAACGGTTTTCTAGTATTTTCAAATATTTCCAGAAGATTTCTTAAGTATTTCTGAGATTTCTAGCACTTTTTTAAATATTTGGAAGGCATTGCAACGAATTAGTAAATATTTCAAACAAGATTTAGAGAATTAACAAACATAACGTTAAAGTTTTTTGCTGTTTCCAAGTGTTGCTAGAAGATATCAAAGATATTTGAAGATCCCGCAGATTTGTCAAGATAACAAAAAATTTCTAAAAATTTTCTGAAGATTTCTAATTATTTCTTAAAATGTTCAAAAATAGCTAGAAACGTCTAAAAAGTGTTCTTGTTTCCAAACATTTCCGGAACATATTTAAGGATTTCCTAGGATTTTCAAAATAATTTCATGTATTTACCCTTTAGGCATCTTCTGGAAATACTTGGAATATCGAGATAATATGTAAAAATGTTGGGATGTTTTTTAATATTCTCTAAAATTTCTTTGAAATATTTACTAATTTTTTAAAACTGTTTTTAAATATTTGAAAAACCACCAGAAAATCTTTTAAATGTTCTGGAAATACATGGATACTTCAGAAGAACTTTTAACATTTTTGAATATTCTTGCAGATCATTAGAAATATTCAAAGAATACCTTAAATCTCCACAAAATCTATAGAAATTGGCAATGATACTTAAAAATATATTATTAAACTGCTCTGCTTTAGATGTTTCTGGATATCTTTAAAAATCTTCTGTTAATACTTGTAGTCTACAAACAACAATTAGAAACTTTGGGATATCATATGACATTTTCTAAAACTTCTTTGACATATTTACTAATCTTTTGCAACTTCTTTTAAATATTTGAAGTACCAAAAACAACAGAAAATCTGTAGACATTTTCTGGAAATATTTGCATTGCATTACATTACATAAATTACATATCGGGTAGGTGGACCAACCAACCTTGCACCGCGGCCCTAAGGATCTATTGTATCCCGATAGTTAACGTTATCAGATTTCACCATGCAGTCCAATACTCTTAACGTACATTAATACCTTGCTCGGTAAAAAAAATCATTCAGATCTTTTAGGGAGATAAGCTGTGATCCAAAAATCGAGAAGAAATCAGTGGCATAAAAGATGCTCAACCGTCTCCTCGTCCTCCGCACATAGTCGGCATTCAACATCGTCGGCTAGGGCCAACAAGTTGAGGTGTGTTTTTTATTGGCAGTGCCTAGTAAAGACACCCATTAGAACTTTAATGCTGCTACGAGCAAGTCTAACACCTTAGCATGTCTCATTCCAGGAGAACTGGTCCACAGTAGGCGAAGCCTCTCTTCAGCCCACAGTCCAAACCTATGTTTGGCCATAAATAAATATTAGATAAATACTTGCATACCACCGACAAACTTTTAAATTTTTGATACCATTGCAAATCTTTAGAAGAATTCTTTTGAAATTTCCTGATATCTTCAAATACCTCTAGATAACGTCTGGCAATACTTAGAAACACCAGAAATATCTGTTAAACATTTATTTAAAACATTTAAAAAAGTTCCAGAAATCACAAATGTGCTGGAAATACTTAAATACTCCAAACTTGTAATTTGAGGATACTTCCGCAAACCTATAGAAAATCTTTGGAAATTTTTGATTATATTGGCAAATACATGAAACTGCCCCGTTATCTTTAGAAAAATTTATAATCATTCAAGCAACTACAAACTTCAATAATAATCAATCTCCCATGGGAGCAATTTTTTGTTTCAACCTTGGAAAACATTGAAAGTTTCGTAATAGGCCGCAATTCTTTAAGAACCTTCACAGGTTTTGGATATAGCGTTATCAGACCATACTTCCAAGGGTTCTTTCATTAATTAATTTATTTTTTTTGAGATTCTTATGGATTAATCCAAAACACGACTCCAAATCTCGCACAGTTTCATTCACAAACCGTTCAGGATTATCGTTAAACATTATTATCCCTTCAGTTATGATTTTGAACCCTTTATCTATTTTTCATTGAACTGGTTACGTGCAGTTTAGAATTAATTCTGCTAAACGGAACAGGGGATAGGAACCTGCAGTTTCAATATATGATAGAGTGATAGAGTATTCCGCTTTGGGTGATTAGTTGGTATCTTACCTTGTCGTAACGTTTAACAAGTTTTGTTGTTTAATTAGGTGAACGATGCTACAATTATTTTTGTAAAATCAACTAAAATGTATCCCGTGTAAAACCACATATCGATTAATACATCTGTCATTGTTTATTGACCAAAAAATTATGGAACAAACGGAAAGCTGATTGGTGTGAGTCAAAACGGTTCTAAGCAACTAAAAGTATCTATAGAATATTTAATGTGAATGAAAGAATTTAAAAAAATGACGTTTTAAAAAGATTCAATCAGTTTTGAAGCTGGGAGAAGCTGATTGATGTAATTCAAAATATTTCTAATTGATTCAAAATATGTCTAAAACGCTCAACAAGGATGAAAGTTGATTTTGATGTTTTTTGAAAGTGATTAAAGGTACTAAGAAATTGAAAAAGTTGATGGTTTGACATTGTGATAACATAAAGAGTATAAAGAGAAGAATATTAAAGAGGATGTTTTCTAGACAACTCAAAGAATTCGGAATCTAAGAAACACTGGTTAGTGTGAATCAAAATGGTTCTAATAGAGTAAAAGCATCTGTAGAATACTTAATGTGGATAAAATCTTGTTGGTGTGTGTCAAAACGATACCAATCGATTGGAAACACTTTGAGATTATTTGATGAAGGTAAGATAAGTTAATAATATTAAAGGGGATTTGCTAGAAATAAATTGCTAGTAAATTGTTGATATCTTCCAATTCAGTATCAATTAGAAAGCGAGACATTTTGAGCGACCGATGCTTATTAAATAGGTTAACTAAACTGGTATTGTTAGGTGAATTTGACATATGTACTGTGTGTACTAATGATGATAAGTACTCATAGCACATCAGGAAGGACACATGACGCCAGGATACTATCTAGTGGTGTTTTTTTAGATAATATTTAGTTGTTTAATTGTTATCATTTCACATTGGTTTTAACTTAACACTTTCATAACAAAATATAGTCTTGACAAATGCTATTAACTCTGATCAAATGTAATAGTATGTAATGTACAAATTGTAATAGAATCTTCCATTGAATATTTAATTACATAATACTCAACTCAGCCGAGATAAGCCCCGGAAGCGAAATATTTTTGTTTCTAAATGTATCACATTACATGTATATTTTGTATATACATGTAATACCAAATAATTTTGAGTAAACATTATATTAATTTTAAAAGTAAAAATCTCGTATAATAACATCAGTAAACCACACTATGTAGTTAAAATTTTACAAATTCAAAATAATTTTAATAATTTCAATTTAACTCAATATGTAATAAGTTATTCATTTCTGCAACGTTTTAGTTTTGAATTCTCCTTATAATACCGATGCAGGTGCTGTTGAAAATTAATTCCATTCAGAACACCTTCGGCGTTTAGCATTGCGAACTTTCCCGATAAGAGGAGAGCAATAAAGCTCTTGTTCATCGATTATGGCTTATCTCTTCACCGACTGCTGTACATGTCGAACTACGTGACATTAATGTTAACTACGGTTAAAAAGGGTGAAATAAATTTAAAAAAAACTAAATCGATGAAATCTGTTCAATATGACCAACGTTTCTATAAGTTATTTATTCGTTTGAAGTTATTTTAGTTCTGAAACTATATTAATTTAAATTGAAAACTAAATAATTTATGTACCCACGTGTTATGTATAAGAGCAAAACCCTTAAAATTTATGTAAATTTGTGTTTGCTCATGTAAAAGGGCGTAGAGAAGATTCGCTTATTCGCTTATTAACTCATTTCGTTGAATGCGTTAGGCCGAGGTTTTGTTTGAATTACGTAAATATGGATACAAAATCTTCAGGTTTAGCATAAAAGGATTGGCTGTGTTATTCAAAATAACTCACATTATATTCCGGTTGGTTTTCATTACATAAAAACATTGAAATCTTATACAACATTTTAAGCTAAATTTTATTACTTTCTTTTAAAATCATCTTTTACCACTCTTATAGAGAAATGGATGGTTGAGTTAGTAGTATAAAAAAAGATTATTATAATAAATACATACCTGAGCTTTGCATGGATGGGGGCCACCTTGAAATTCAATGGTACCGTACGCATCGGTTGGTTCTGATTTTGTATGTTTGGATGGAAGCCAAATGTCGTTTGCCGAAACCGTCGAATCGAAGGTAAGGGCGGCGTGATCGCTTGTCGAGCGACCACAAGAGCATCTGGAATTTCAATCAACAATATTAATTATAGATTTCAGCGATGAAATTAGTTGTAAATGAGAATTTAATTATTATTAACAAGATATACTTCGTAACATTGAAATGATTTCTTAATTATTGTAATGTAATAAATAGGGTTTTATTGATTCAAATGAATCTACGCTTTAGTTTAAATCCCTCGTTTAATTGTGAGTCTTAGAACAGTTGACATGTTAAATTGAAATTTCCTTCTAATGAGGGGTGGATTAAATTTAAGTTTCTCGTCTTTTTACGTGGCTCTACTGATAGATTAACAAAGGAGACAACATATTCACTAATGAGAGAGATGTAATGAAACCCAAAGATATTACCTAAATCAATTTGTCAGGGTGAGTATAGTTAGATCAGACCTTGCAACCTTTCTTTATTCAATTTAGAACAACATGAAGCTTTAGCCATTACATTTAGCCAGGATTAAATAAGCATAAGATTATGAATGATAAATAAGAGCATTTAAATTTTTTAATGCAGCATTTCTTAACCATCTAGCATTTGTTAATCAATATCTCATCATAATTTTCAACGTGGTCATACAATAATAATGTATTTTGACACTAAAGCTTCGCTACGACCAAAAAATACAAGCCTTATAAATTACCAAGAAAGCTGCATTGACAAAATTACATTTGAAGTTTATTTATGTTCACTTTTACGTCATTAAATCAAGTATTTATGGTTAATTGCAACCTAAATTTTGTTCAGATGCTATACATAAAGTGGAAGATATACTTTCAGTGAATCTATTAATTACAGACGAGTTTCACTCGAGTCGATTCTTTATTGCGATCGAATCTATCATGAATGTGCAAACTATTTGCATGATAAATGCAATTCATAGTATTAAATATGCACAGCAGTAAATTTATGGGTGGTTCCGAAAATAAAAATAACAAAATATTCCCAAGAGTATTTAAATTTTGGGTTGACTAACGCTGAAGTAAATAAAAAAGAAAGGCTTATATTTGTCATTTGCTCGAATATGTTATACTTTAAATCCTAAGAATTTTGCAATTTTAAATTAAGATTATTTGGAAAGTCTGTAGGGTCTAGAATTTGAGGAGGTGCCTGTGGAGAGGGTGTAGCCCTTTGGTTGCATTGCTGAAACGTCTGTGAATGTGGTTAGACTCTGGGGTGCATGTGGTAAATTGCAAGGGATTGGTGCATTTGGATATACGGAATATAGTTCGCTAATGGTGACGAATTGGCGGAGAAACTCAGGTTCGTGCGCGTGAAAGTGCGTCAGAAATAGTATTGCTAAGTACAGTAATAAAGATTATTAGAGTTATTAGAAGATTTACATAACACTAAAACCAAAATAGAACAGTTCAAAATTTTGAAAGTTGCAGAAGCGGCATGTGGAGTGGTTCGGTTCGGTTGAATATTTTTAGGCATCTTGTACTGGAAGTCGTATATTGAATACTTTGGAGATTGATACATGTGGAGACAATCCAAACAATACTCGTTATTTTGGTGGTGCTTCCGCCCAGAAAATAGTCCAAATGAAGTAAATATTGCTTAGAAGGGAAGTTCCATAAGGAATTTTTATGGAATTTGGATGTCAAGTGTTACAGCTTACACATTTATACGGAGAACATTACAGCCTGCCCCTAAGTCCACGATGTACTACAAAAAAAAACTAAAGAATATCTGCACAAAAGGAAAAGATTTTAGGAAAGGAAATGGGATACGGATCATAAGTGATGTGTAAAAGGTATATATGAGCGTGAGTGAAAGAATAACTACAATGAAGGAAACTCCAAAAACGTGAACTTAGCCTATCGGAATAATTGAGGAAAAATTAAATGAAGAAAAAGTATTTCAGAACAAACTGAGTAAACTAAATAAACTAATAGAAGAATCCGAACGGTGAAAGAAAAAGCACAAATTTGGCGAGTTGAAATAGCTTGAAAATGTTGAATCAAGCAAATGTATCAATGAAACGTCAACCAGAAAGGTATTCAGGTGCACAGCGAAAGGTGACATGTACTCAAACAGTGAGTATGAGGATAGTACCAAAGGAAGAGGAAAGAAGTTAAAAGCGAATAGTGGGCCGAAACAGTTAAAGGAAACGAAGGAAAAATAAGCGGAAGGTCGAACCGGAAGAACGAGCAGCTTTTGTACTATTTTAACGATTAAAATTAATTTTAAATAAGCAATAGAGAGGAACACGAGATTATAAAAGAAAAACTATAGGGAAATGTTAGAAAGATGAAAAGTGGAGGAAGAATTTTGAAAGAAGTATCTATGATGAATTTATCTTTATGTTTAGAAAGCAACAACAAAGACAGGAACAAAAAACAAGAAGATACAATGATCAACTTAAAATGAAACATTAAAAATGATAGCGAAGTAGGGATTAAAAGTGTTCAAGAAATGGAAGGTATTAAAATTGCTTCGAAGGAGAGAGAAGATGTTAGCTATTAAATTCCTTGGAACATATCGATCCAACTATAGTGGAAGAATAGTATGTGAGACCTTCTCATCTAAACTATTTCTTTAGTTATCTTGGTACAATAAATTCTCTCAAAAGTCTTTCAATGTTCTGTGAACATCGAGATGAGCAAAAAGTTCTGCTGGAATAGTTTGTTGTTAAAAAATGTTGTTCTCCATGTTATTCAAATGAAGGTATTATAATTAATCATTTCGAAGATATTCTGTATCTGCAACTACCATAGCTACCTTATTATTAGGAAGTAATTCTGAAAATAAATTCTGGAACACACAAACAATTTGTCTTCAAATGAGATGCTAAACAAATATAAATTAGACATTTAATAAAGACAATGCAAAAATTGGAATACATTAGCTTCGCTCATTTCTAAGAAGAATACTATCTTAGAGTATAACAAAATCAGAAAGAGTTATCACATAATATTTGATTTATTCGAAGATTATGTTATATTACTAATGATTTAATTTAAAAATACAGCAAATACATATAGACTCGACGAAAGTGGCTTGAACTTAAATAGCAGATTCGGTTACGTGATGGCAGTAAAATGTTCGAAAACTATGATATTACGTCAAAAGGAAAGGTGGAAACAATACCTATAATGATGAGCTGCATACTTTGATGGGACAGGCCACAGCTTTAATAATGAAAGAGAAAAATAAAGAAAAGCCGAATATAAAGGTGGAAAGTCATCCGTATCTGTTATTTATATGTCTCAGAAATCGGCGGTGTATATTACAACCTACATTTTTTATTTTTGGATAAAAGATTACTTTTTATCCAGGATGGAATCCATGTACTTATTGTATTTGATGGTTACCTTCCCCAATAATAAAATTGAAGTTTGCGGAAAATCAATAAATTATTTTATTGTTTACCATCACAATCTTTTTAGCATTTTTGTCATTGAATACTTTTTATTATAATGGATAATTCTATAGAAATGAAACCAAACAGATATGTAAGTAAACTTGTTCTTGGAAAAATATTAGGTGAAGTTCAAGGGGTGATTAATATACATATATTATATATAAATAATGCATAGTTGAGCAAGTAGACTATGAGGATATCAATTACAACAATATTGCCTTCTTCTAGGTCGTGCATATCCTGAAGTTTGCCCTTTGGTCGGAAGTTGTGCGCATCTTTCAGATCGCCTAATGCGGATCTTGTTGTGCCTACGCGCTTGCATTTCTGCTGATTGGCCAATTTTTATTTACATCACATCAATAATCTGCAAAATTGATATAAATACGTCATCTTTAATGAACCAAAAAAATTTCAACTTGAATTTTTTTGGCTATACAATGTAAAAGTTTCGGAGTGAATTTCCACATTAACGGATGCAACCATTCATCACTATTCCATGATTTCACATACAAGCAGCGTTCGAGAAACTCATCATAGAAATAAGTCTTGATTAATGGGTTTTCATTTCTCTAAAAACTATAAGTTGGTGGATTTCAGTGGGGAAAATTATGAAGTGTGCCAGTGGCTTCGGCCATACACCAATTGCGTCAATTTTCTGAATAGTTTCGTTGTGGTTTCTCATCCGTGAAACTTTTATGATAGTACGCAACACAATTTTTTTCTTTATATGTTCCACAGACTCGAAATGTTTTCGGATATGCAAGCCAGAGAACCTGGTTAGTTCAACGATAACATTGTTAGTCCATTTCACAGTACCTTTACTATTTTTTTTATATTTGGAAGTTTTGTTTCCATTCATTTCACAACATAATCCACAAACTATTTTTTTTTACTACCAAGACTTCATGAAGAGTATTCATAGGAATTTACATCTAAAATGCCTTGAACGTATTATAGCCTATAAACCTTATGCAATCATGTCGTCACTTTCCAACCTTGCTTAACTTTCGCTGTGATTAACAGTTTTCTTAGTGTTGCTCATACCGTTCATGGTACTTATCAATACATACACTTTTCTTTTTATTCTATACATTTTTATTAAAAACTAGTAGCTTGACAGCTACTAGTTTTTATTGTACTATCAATTTCCAATTTCTTTATATATTTCCAATGAGTGTATTCACCCTGAATAAACATTTTTTATCCATTTCGAAGTAATGTGAGTAACATATGTAAATGTTTAAATAACACTTGTGAATTAAGAAAACAAACCGCATGCGCATTTTATAGAAAGATACATAGGTAAGTATTGGTATAAAGCCTACGAGCAAAATAATATTTCTTTTTATTTTTCTACTTATTTCTTGCAAGACATTTCTGTATAGAATTATAGGTAACAAAAAACCGGCAAAACATTTATGCATGAATTCATGCTCACCTTCCGAATTGTCGAGGTTTATAATGAACGGAGGAAGATCTTTAACGTGATTTAAACAATTGCTCCAATCTGCTGCTGTACAATTTTGTAAAACAGTATGCTACACGTTAAAACACATCTTCGTTTAGAAGGAAATGGTTAAATTGTTGATAAATTTATTATAGTAGCTCTTGCAATGGACCCAAACCAGTTTCATTTGAT